TAATGAATAAGATAATTCTGCTTCCACTCATCATTGGTAATTCTCTTCCGCAATTATATTCACCAACTCAAAATGTAGATTAGGTATTTTTCAATGAGAATGATACCAGTGAGGTTTGACCTTGGTTTACTTTGCATTGGCATTGCATTGACAGGGTTGTTTTATAGACTTTTTTCTTCTCCAAAAGTCTGCGAAATATCTCACATTTATAATTGCTTTATAAATGGGACTTCATCCCACACATATTTTATATGTAGTATTCACAGCATGCAATTCCTTTTACTTGCTTCATCTTACTAACTTAACACAGAACAAAATTTCACTGAATTCATAATATTGCTCTGGAACTGATACATTCTGTATATTTACACACCAATATGTTTTATGGAAATGAACACATTTCTTCTCTGGAGCATATTTTCAAACTTCAATTGCTCTTTACTAAAGCCAATTTTTTTTTTCAAACAGAAAAAAAAAAGTGCAATGCGTTTCATGTCTATATATTTTTATTCACGCCAATATATTTTCACAGTTGGATAGATTTAACTAAATTAGTAGTTACAGTATTTGTTCAAAGCATTGCATTTTTCCTGGCATCTGGTAAGTAAATGTTATCTGGGTTTTCTTTTTTTTTTAGTAATCAGCTTCCACCAAAGCCAAACCATTAAAAACAACAGCGACTTACCTCAACCACTCAAAATTTCTCGCCCCAAAGAGCAACAAAAGCAAACAAAACCCCAACCCTTCTGCTGCAGCTGCTGAAAGACGGTAAGGGCAGTGCAAAAGGGAAATGCACAGACTCCAGTGATGAACTCTGGTGCTCTGATTTCCACATAGGCCAGGAATGGTGCACTGGGTGGGGAAATGCACTTTTTGTGATCCCTCCTGGATCTAGGGACCCTCCGCATGAGGGAAGCCACCTTCAGGTGTGGTGGGGCAAACAGAAGCATTAAGCACTTATTAAAGACTACTGCAAGAGGCTGCTATACAGCCAGAGATTTCTTCAAGGCTAGGGGGCAGCTGCAGTGAGGTTTTCTTATATATATTTTTCACTGGGCTGTGTAAATAAATCTCACTTTCCAAACTGCTGTTTTAAGTGCCTGAGTGATTAGCAGTTCTGCAACTCAGGATAGAATCTGTCTCTAACTTCTGTCACTAGCAGCTTGCCTTCTCCTTATTTCCTGTGGGGCTTTTTTAGCTGGTTTTGGTAGTCTGCAACCATATTTTGATGACTTCTTCCCTACCCTCTAAATTTTAAAAAAAATTACTTTAAAATATATATTATAGGACATAGCACAGAACAATTGTTTATAGAGCTGTTTCCCAGCTTGTAACACTGGAAATTTCTCTCTTCATAAATTGTGTATACATCTTCCACCTTTGATGTATTTGATAAAACCATACTATTTTTCCAAATAGATGTTTTCCTTGGGTTTCCCCTCCCTAATCACTGACCAATGATGCTATCAAGGAGCATTGTTAAGAAAACATGATTATCCCTTCAGATTTTGCTTGTCTTTCAAGGCAAACTCTAGAGGTGGCTCCATTTAGAAAAGGTGAAGTTTAGCTGTTGTCTTGGGGTGATTTTATGATAAATTGGGGAACATTTTATTTACCAATTAAGTGAGAGGAAATACTTGAGGACCCTTTCTGGATCATGTATTGGCATTAAATTATTTTGCTTTGTTTAGCATTAGGAATATTTGTGCATAGGAATATTTGTATATGTCACCTTGGTGAAAACCAGGATAATGCAGAAGAACATTTTTCTAGTTCTGATAAAATGCTTGCCTTCTGCATCTGATTTTCAGTGGTATCTCTTACTGTATTTTAGGGTATTACTCTTTACTCTGTTCTGAAGTGTGTTTCCTGAAGAATCCCCATAGCTCTTTTGGTCTGGAAGCAATGAAACTTCTGGCCATGCTGCTCATGAGCTCCAGCTCCACAGACCAATTGCGAAGTTCTGTGTTAGGTTTAGATATCAGCTGCCACTGGATGTCACAAGAAGTGCTACCGTACCTACAGAAACCATCAAATTAACACAGCTGAGTTAATCAGGAGGAGTATGACATCGTATCTGGCAGTTGTAATGACTTTAATTATACATTTTTCAGATATATATTTAATAAAAAAACCCAGGGACTTTTGTTTGGAACTTTTTTTTCTCTATCAACACATTGCTAGCTCATTTCAGACCCACCTGAACCAGAAAAGAACAGCAAGAACCAGTGTTTTTGGTTATGTTCCTGACATGGGGAATGACATGATGTCCATGTCACTGAATTCTAGGAAGAAAAGGTCAGTTGGTGTTTCTAAACACTCAGATCAGCTTTTCCAAGTGTACTAATATGGCAAAGACTTGAAAATCCCATGATGTACACGGGCACTTCGTTCCTACACCTGCCAGAGGTGCCACCTTTCTACAGCTTTTAATCACTAAACTAGGAAGACTCTTGTGTCTTTCCTATAATGTTTCCTGGAACAAGACTACAACCAAAAGTATGTCTTGCCAAAAGTACAGAGCTATCAGCTGTCATAATTAATGCAAAAGCACTTCAGGATGGATTACAGTCCTGCCTTAGTGAAGGATTTGTGGAATTGGTTTTTTAATTTCCTCCGCCACCAACCAAGGAAAAACCCCTGCCAACATTTGTTGACATTTATAGGGCTGCCTTAAAAATGATGACTTGATCCTTTTTGTAAGTCTTCTAAAATATTTTGATAATCATTCCCCATTCATTACTGCTGCACCTGCACTGAACCCTAAGAGAACAACTGTAAAACCTTTGTCTGCTTTTTTTACTATGAATAAAAATTTTTAAAAAACCCAGAAAACAAGTAAAGGAAATATCTATTAATGCATTAGAGACAAGACTACAAATGTTTCCCTGTCCTAGGGGACATTCCAAGTGCAACATCCTCTACAGTGTTAACCTAACTCTCCAAAGGCATGGAAATGATGTGATGGTCCTTTGCTACCAAACCATACAAATGCTAGAACTTTAAAAGGTAATTCTTTAATTTGATTCTGTATTTTATGTGAGCATCCTTTGGAGACTGGGAAAGCTCAGTATAAATCATGATGCAGCTTCAACTGCTGCCAGGCATAATCATCACTTGCTAATGAACAAAGTGCCTCCATATGACTACAGAATGCTTAACTTCTCTGATCCCACTCCTGTGCAGGCTCTTCAAGGTGAAGTTGACAACTGATTGCACTTCCTTGACAATCTGAGGCCATGCCCCCTCCAGAGAAATGAGTTTTTAAAGAACTTCCCTCTCCTGTAGGTAAGACTATTTCACTATTTATCTCCACAAAGCTCTTTGCTGTCAAAGGCTGGGACACCAAAGTGGAAATTCAGAGAGTTACTGTGGGAAACATGCTGCATGATGTTGGAGAGAAAACCTCAATAGGAAAAGGATGGAACCAGAACTGGAGAAATATCTGGTCATTACAGGCACTTGGGTGCAGGGGAATCCTTCTTTCTATGGGATAAGGCAACAAAATTCCTCCACAGGGTGTTTACAGACAGATCCAGCAGATTCAAACCCAGGCATTCGGATTTCACTGAGAGGCTTGTGCAAAAGGTGGCGCATACTGTGCTAAACACCGAGCTCACAAAGCTGGAGTGCCTGCCTGCCTCCTTGCATTTCTCATGACGCTCAGAACACTGCTTTATCTGTCGGAACATAAGCGACTCCGGACCACGAGCTGAACCCTCCCCAGAAAACCTCCAAAGGAAAAAAAACTTTCTGCAAGCCACGCAGAGTCCGGAAAACACCGCGAAAAGTCCAGGAAGTTCTTTATTGCCATTGTTCGGGGACCGAGCTCATCGCCGCCGCGGTGAAGGCACCTGCACGGGATTCGTTCCCACGAGCACGGACACGCAGCCAGCCCTTTTTTCATCCGCTGTTTTCGGGGAGGAAAAGCAGAGGGAGGAGAAGGGGTTTGATTTAGGCAAGGGCCGGCCGAAGGGGCCGTGTCCCACGCAGAGCCGCCGGCCGAGCCCGCGTCCCGCGGCGCTCCCGCCCGGCGCTACCGCCGCTTCAGCACCGGCCCTGGACAGCGCCTGGTCCCGCCCCGCCCCCGCCGCTCTCACCGCCCATTGGCTGCGCCGCCGCCGCGAGGCCGCCGCTCCCCGCGATTGGCCCGGGCGGACTGTCACTCAGCGGCGCGCGAGGCGGGCCTGGCCCCGGGGCTCGCCCCTTTGCTTTGTAACGCGTCTCTTCATTGGTCAGGCGACCAACTCCGGGCAGCGGCTATTGGGCAGCGTCCCGCGCCAGTCACGCGCCGCTCTGAGGGGCCGGGCCGGGGTTGAGGGGCGGGGCCTGGGCGTCGGGGGCGCGGTCAAAGAGACAGAGGGGGCGTGGCCTCGGCGCAGGGTGGGCCGGGGTGTGGCGGGCGGGCGGGGCCGTGGGCGGGGCCAGGCGCTGAAAGGGGCGGGATGAGGGGCGGGGGCGGGGCCGGGCCGGGGGAGCCTGGCGAGCGGAGGTTGCCCTTGTGTCTCGCGCCGGGAAGCGGCTGGAGCGGAGCGGGAGCGGGGTCCCTGCGCATCCTCCCCTCCCCGCCTCCGCCGCCCCGCGGTGGCACGGCACGGCACGGGACAGCCCGGCACAGGCGAGCGGAGAGACGGACGGACAGACAGACGGACGGGCACGCCGGCACGGGCAAGGGGAACCAGCGGGGGCACCTGGCACCGCTCCGCGGTGGGAACCTGAACCTGCCCAGCAGCGTCGGAGCCAGCGGAGAGAGCTGCTCTTTCCTCCTCCTCCTCCTCCTCCCTCCCCAATCCACCCCCGCGACCCTGGTCCTCCTCCTCCTCCTCCTCCTCCTCCTCCTCACCCCACTGGATACAGCGAGGGAGACACTGCGGCGGAGGCGGCGGCGGCGGCGGCTCCTGCGGGGGGAAGGAAGCGCCCG